CTCATAGGGCCTGCCCTGCTGCCCCCTGATCATGTGAGTGGCCCTCCTCTGGACCCTCTCCATGCTGTCCACATCCCTCTTGAAGTGCGGCGCCCAGAACTGGACGCAGTACTCCAACTGCGGCCTGACCAGTGCCGCATAGAGGGGGAGGATCACCTCTTTGGACCTGCTCGAGATGCATCTGTGGATGCATGACAAGGTGCGGTTGGCCTTCCTGACTGCATCCCCACACTGCCGGCCCATGTTCATCTTGGCATCAATGATGACTCCAAGATCCTTTTCTGCCTCTGCACTGACAAGAAGGGAGTTCCCCAGCCTGTAGGTATGGTGCTGGTTCTTCCTCCCCAGGTGCAGCACCTTGCACTTGTCAGTGTTGAATCCCATCCTATTCTCATCCGCCCACCCTTGTAACCTGTCTAGGTCCGATTGTAGCCTGCTTCTTCCTTCTAGTGTGCCCACGTCCCCCCACATCTTAGTGTCATCAGCAAATTTGAACAGGGTGCTTTTTATCCCCTCGTCCAAGTCACTGATGAAGATGTTGAACAGTGTGGGCCTGAGGACCGAGCCCTGGGGGACCCCACTGCCCACATCCCTCCAAGTCGAAAATGACCCGTCCACCACCACTCTCCGGGTGCGGCCCTCCAGCCAGTTGGTGACCCATTTGACTGCATAGGTGTTGACATCACAGTTCCCCAGGTTTTAATGAGAACGGGGTGAGAGACAGTGTCAGAGGCCTTCTGAAAGTCCGGGAAGACTATGTCCACTGCTACCCCTGAGTCTAAGGATTTGGTGACCTGGTCATACAAGGCCACCAGGTTGGTCTGACAGGACCTGCCGCTAATGAACCCATGTTGGTTGCCCCTAAGCATAATCTCCCCTGCTGGCCCCTCGTGGACATGCGCCAGGATAATTCTCTCAAAAAGCTTACCCAGGATCGAGGTAAGACTAACTGGCCTATAGTTTCCTGGGTCCACCTTCCTCCCGTTTTTGAAGATGGCAACCACATTGGCCCTTTTCCAGTCCTCTGGCACCACACCAGAGCACCACGAGTGCTCGTAAAGCCGTGCCAGGGGTCCCGTAATGACCTCAGCCAATTCCCTCAGCACTCTGGGGTGGAGATGTCCAGACCAGCTGATTTAAATACATCCAGTCCCTCCAGAAGTTCCCTAACTAGATGCTCATTGACCCTTGTCCTGGGTGCACCTCCCCTGGGGCCTGCTGGGGTCCCGAGTGAGGTGGGGGGGGTGACCCGGTCCCTCTTCAGAAAAATGGAAATGCTCAATTAGGTTAGCCTTCTGATGTGTGTGGTGACATGATGTGAATAGACACTGGATATGTTTATGCTGTAGCTTGTGTAAATGTACCTGGCTCTATACTAGGTCAGGGACTGCAAGCACTAGTGTAACTGAAGGGAGGGCTACTGGGCAAAAATAGCTGCCAGGCTGGCTGCACTACCAGCAGCACCAGTGCTGCTCCATGCATCACTGCTGCCTGGGACACAGAGCTGCCCTGTTATGCCTTTTACAGCAAGCAGGGTAACTGTGGCAGGCTAGGGCTTCATACAGACTAATTGCCCAAGTATTTCCCCACCTTCTTGGGTGGGTTTTGCAAGCAGAGCAATGGTACTAACTAATGTACTTTAGCAAGCTACTTTAAAAGTCATTGCTCTGCTATTGACGCAGCAATGCAGCTTCATCTGCTTTGCAACCATGATGCTGTTTTGTAAACAACCACAGATGCAGCAGTCATCACACTGTAGATGTACCCACTGTACAGCTGTCTAGCTGTTTTATGTGACTTGCAAAATGGAGTTCCTAACCTCTCAGGATCATTGTGATCAATGAATGTTGACAGACAGCTTTTTGCAAAAGTAGAGCTGTGAATCCCAGCAGCGGTAGTAATATTCTCTGTCTCTTTCTTTTTCACCCTCTCCACCCAAACGCTGGGTAGTTTCAGATCCTTTTTCTTCACTTCTTGTTAGGTTGTGCTAATATGCAGTGCAGAGGGCACGTATACACTGCCTCAGGATCACGCGATGCATGTGTAAAACCTAGAAACAGATGTGATGTAGCTGCCTTTGAGCTCATCCCTTACATTTATCTCCAGTGGCACCTCAAGGCTATGATTTTGCCTTTCAGCTTTTCCCATCTTTGCTACCATCAGGTGCAGCATTAGCATGCACAGAAAACCAAGCTTCCCCTGGTGTGTTAGCAGCCACCACGTTGTCTAATCTTTATCAAAGCAGGCATAGATGTGAGACAAGGAAATCTGATACAAGGCCCACACTAGTGGTCCCTCCCATTTACAGCAGCAATAATATTTTTAAGGAAAACATTTTAAGGAGTATACAAGACTCATCAGTCTTTCAACAGTGTTTTGTTCTGCTTGCATGGCTGGGAACCACCTACATCATAACCAACATCAATATGGCATAGTTACCCTTGGGCCTAGGCATGCATGCAACACAAAACTATAAGATGCACAACCATATAATGCACCAGTTATAGCAGGTACACTTTATAGACAGAACGGTACACATACACACAAAAAAATCTTTCTTAAACACTAGATGCAAATCCTCCTTGGACATGTATGTATTATAGATTTGGTTTGGTTTGTTTGAAAGCAAGTTCTTCTTGACTGTTTCCACCCCTAGAAAAGGAAGGGCTGGATGTTACTGACACAGATAGAAATGCAGTTTTATCTGCTTTGCAATTGTGAGGTTGTTTTGTGAAGTTTCACTACCAGGAAGTAGGATTCTGCCAAAGTGAAGCAAATGAATGCATAAACTGCCTGTGCTTTAAAAATAACACTGTTTGAACAGACCTGATACCACTTTATACCAATGCAACTAACTCTAATGACTTTAGCAGAGATTTGCCTGATTTACACTGGTGCAAATTGGACCAGAAACAGGTGCATCCTGTAAGTCAGAGGTGGGCAATTATTTGGACATAAAAGAGTTTTGGTGAGCTGTCACAGATCAGGTCAGCATCAGTAACGCTGTCCCCCATGCCCCGGCAAAACAGCTCACCAAAACTCCCTAAGTGGCTCTGTCCCACACTCGGCCGAGCAGTTGGGATGGGACCAAGGGTGGAGAACAGCATCCAGGAACAGGATGAACAGGCAGAGCTGGGGCTGGGATTGTGGGGCGGTGACAGCACAGAGCTGGAGCCATGGCAAAGCCACAATCTGCTCCCCACACACCCCTGCAATTGGCACCAGTTCTATGGGCAGAGGTGTGTGGGAGGTGGATCATGGCTCTGCCCCAGCCTCAGCCCTATGCTGTCACTGCCTCATGATCCCACCCCATGATCCTGGCCTCCCCCTCCTGTCCCGCTCCCGAACGCTGCTCCCCACCCATGCATAGCCCCATCCCATCCACCCTGCTGCATGCCCTGCCTGTGCAGGTCTGCCCCTAGTGGATAGGCAGGCTACAGTGCCTGGGCAGTGGGGCTGGGTCCAGCGGTGGCAGCAGCCAGAAGGAGCCACTGCTGCCAGGAAGTGAGTGCAGCTACTGCGCCACTCCAGCCCTGCTGTGTGTGGGGGTGGCTCACAACCTAGGCTGCCAGCTGGGCTCAGTGGCTCAAAATCTAGGCTGTCAGCTGGGCCACATGCACCACAACCTAGGCTGCCAGCTGGGCTCAGTGTGACCAAAGGACCTGCCATGAGCCAGACAAAATCCTTCGGTGGGCCAGATTCAGCCCACTCTTGCTCTAAATAGTATTCAGGCCTCACTCCAGGTGCCAAAGGGTACCAGCAATGACAGGAGTACTTGATTAGCAACACTCATGAAAATTCACCAGTAGCCTTGCTAGAGTCTCCTTTTCTCTTCCTCAGCACTAAGATGAAGATTTTTTCAAAACACATTGATAAGGCAAAATGCATAGCTTGTGTAGTGCATTCAAAGACTTTGGTCTAGAAGTTTCCAGACTAAATGATTGCCACAACAGGAACTTTTTAGGACTGGGAAGGTCAGGTTTAACATGCCTACAACAAACCAAAAGCAGTCCTAAAGACTACATAGATGAAGATGGACCACTGCATATTGGAGCCTGCAGCCCCCACTAGCAACACCAATACCTGGAGAAAGAGTATGGTTTGGGGTAACACAACAGACTCCATCCAGCCTTCAGGCCTGTTCTAGCCACCCTAAAATCATCACTTGGTTCAGTGAAGAAATGCCCTAATAGCTAAGCAGAGTGACCTTTACCAGTCAGGGTACCCCTTTGTGCTCCAAGCCCACCAAGCTCCCTAGCAGCTTATCAATTCCTATACATGTAACAGAAGTTAATCATTGAAGTTGGAGGAAGCACACTTAAAAAATCAACATTTGCTATACTGAGCAGCCAGAACAAGGCTGGCTTATTGAAATTACCTTGTAATTAAAACATAATAAAAACTGGCATTTATTGATGAGTTATATTATCCTTGTCTAAAACCATTTAAACAAATTAAACCCCATCTCAGTGTTTTCCTATAGTGTTAGACACGCTAAGGCATGAGCAACATCAATAACGTTAGCTACATTGCCTCTTTGTTATTGAAAAAGGAAAGCTTTGCTTGGCATAGCTTTAGCCAATAAAATGGCACCTACTGGCCTATGGCAGAGCCCCTGCTGGTGAGCCCCAAAAGATATTACCACGGTACTTGCATGGACCTATAAAGCATGCTCCTAAGAACATTGCTGTCCCACCCCAGGGGACCTGGCCAAGGTATTTGCATAAGTCGATGGAAATATATGTCCCAGAAACCACTGTTAGGACCCCTGGCACCCAGCAGGTGATGCTTCCAGGGTACTTGCATAGCCATATCCCAGCACATGCTTCAAGATAACTCTAACCTGACCCCCTTTCATACACATCACAGCCCCTATAAGGGCAGGCACATGAGGAACTCTATAGGAGCATGCCCTAGTATCTGCCCCAGAGAGTGCAGACAAGGCTAGGGCCCCTGTCCCAGGTGGATTGTTCTCTGGTTGTTTTGTGATGGTTACAAACCTGTAAGGCAGAAAGAGTAATAGGCCCTGAGCTCCTTTCTTCCTTCTCCCAGCTGCTTCTGTCTCTCTCTCAGGCCTCACAACAGCTGAGCAGATAAACAAGTCACCACCTGCTCCCACCTCTAGTCCCACCCCTCTGAATCTGATATGTCTCCACCCCATGCCCAAAGCTCTGCCCTTTCCCCTGTACTCTCCTAAGGCACAGTTCCTTGTAACAGCAGCTGCTCACTTGCCCTCCCCATTACTGAAACCAGAAGCACTTTCTGAAGAAGTAATAGGGAATGTCTGTCGTTGTAGGAAGCAGACATCTGGAAGCCAAACTTAGTTTGTGCCCAAACTAAGAAAATCCTGTTTTGCAATACCAGAACAAATTCTGAACTGCCTGGCATTTCTGCCCTGTCTGCCTGCATAACTGGGCAAGAAGGTTAATGCTATGTGTGGGCAAAAGATTGAAGCTAAAGCAGGAGGGGGGAGTATGGAGCACAGTATGGAAACAGAGGTACCCAGTTCACTATAGAGCTGGTAGTGTTTAGCCAGCATTGTAAAGCACTGAATCCTGCAGCTGATAAATTGTACAAAAAAGGATAAGTATATGATTATTATTTATACTTACAACTTTTCTTCTTCTTCTCTCATAACCATGCATTTACATTTCACACTGTGGATATTCTTGTCTCTTTCTGAATCCTGCTAAACTCTTGGCCACAATTATACCTTGATGCAGCAAGGCTACTTCCACTGGCTAACTATGAATTCTCAGTGCCCACGAGTTCTTTTTAGCTTCCCCTCACCTTATGTTTAGCAGACAGGAATAATTTTGTTGTGGTGTAGATAAAGCAATGTACAACATGGACAAGACAGACTGGGAGTTTCTGTTCTGTTTGTCTTGGAATACAAGAGCAAGAGAATGTTCCATGTAATTAAAAGGAGGATGTTTAAAATTGATAAAAGGAAATACTTTTTCTCATTACATTGTTCCCTCACTGTTGGAGGAAGTCCTTGAGGACAAGATTTAAAACTGATTAGACATATATATGGCTATCAAGAATAGCCAGAGTATCATCATTAATAACCATAAGGAACATTGAAGTGATGTTAAATCTCATGCATTAAGAGCTTAAGCCAGTTTCTAACGGGGGTAGATCAGGCTAAGGCCATGTGGGTATCAGGTTATTCTATGCCTGCTTACAGTAAGGATCTTGCCCTTTCCTTTGAAATAGTTCATGCTGGTCATTGGTGGAAGCAAGAGCCTGGCGTGGTCTAACCTAGAGTCTGGCCATTCCTGTGCTACTGCAATGGAGGGACAGGTTCATGCATATTCGGTTTATACATTTAAATAAAAACATATGAATTGCTATACTGAGTTAGACCAACAGCCCACTTATCCCAAAACTCTGTCTGTGACAGTGGCTGACATCAGATGCTTTGGAAGAAGGTGTAAGAAAGTATGCCATAGGCAGTTATAAGATAACCTTCCAACATGAAGAAATATCCTCTTAACCCACAAATGTCAGAATCAGAATTAAGCTTTCACCAGTCTTGTATATATTTTAACATGTGCTTTTTTGATTGTATGTATTTGTGTTATGTATACAAATATTAAATCCCTTTTTGAGTCCAGTTAAACTCTTGGCCTTCATCGCATCACATGCATGTTTAGTTAAATCCATGCAACCCTGGTAAAGGTTGCAGAGGGGAAAGAAAGTTTAAAAATTATCTTGCAGAATGTTATGACTTAAAGCATGATACATAGGGAAGAAAGAACCTAACAAAGTTTCAGATCTCACTCTGAGTTTCGGGAGCTGCAAGGTACAAAAACATCATTTTAATAGTAAATTGAGGAAATGTACTTTGGAGCGGCTAAGGGACAAACATGGAATCCTACGAGTCCCTTTTTTACAGACTCCGGACCTTGTTGTTCAGGACACTTAGCACGTGCTTTATCTGAGACTGGAGTGTAGTAAGCACTACCATGCTGTATTAAAAGTTAAAATATAGTTTAAGCAGTTGCATGGTGATGCTTGCTAGTTTCAACCTGCTCTGGACAAGGCTGGAACTGGATGTGCCTCCTCCTCCCTCACACTCCCCCACCAACACTGACCCTGGCAGCAGGCAACACAACTTGCACATCCACCTGTGAGGACATGCAACCCCCACCCAGACCTGGCGCCTTCCCCACTGTGTGCCCAGCACTGCTAAGCCTGGGAGTGCCTGTCCCTGGCATGCTGAGACAAGCCAGGTCTCAGTAGAAGGAGTCACAGGGAGTCAAACCAAGGAGAAGGTGCCACTTCTGCAGCTGGATCCAGGGGGCAAGCCTGCTGTTGGCAGTCTTGAACAGGCTCCAGTGCAGTGCTGGGGCTGGGACCAACAATCAGCTGACTGTCAGTCCCTGGGGTTGGGACCAACAAGTAGCTGATTGTCTAATTATACATCTACTTATTAATGTTCTGGTAGCACCAAAAGACTCATCCCTGCAAAGTCTGCAAAGGAAACAAAAGGCAAGGAGTGGGGGAAAGGGAAACATAAAATATACGCAAAGTGATGAGAGTGATTATTGGGGTTAATGCTATTACATATATCACATATACACTATAGTATACTTGTGTGTAGTCTATACCAAGACACGCCACTTATCTACCATTAATTTTGCACCCCTTGCCTGCTTACTAATGTGAATTTCTTTTACCTAATGTCTATTTTCTGTTTATTTTGTCATGTTGCCTCCCCCACCCCAAATATAATGTTTCAGTTTCTGCCAAGCAATGCAACTGCATTAGCCACTTATAAAACACTCGCTTCCCCACTGGGCAGGCTCTCTTCAGAACACAAGACTAGAGATGGCAAGCATATCAGCTCCAGAGAGATTTCTCTCACTCCAGTTAGTGGTACTCCCTGAGCTTTGCTGATGAAAGGCACAGATGTGTCTGCAAAGAAGCAGCTCTCAGTGCCTGCCCTGTTCCCCAGAGCCCTCTTCAGCCAGTTTGATGTCTAAGTGGAAGGGAAGAAAATAAGCTGACAGTAGGGTTACCACCCAGATGATTTTCTGAATTGATTAGCTGCTTTTTCACAGATCCTGTGGCCTTACAAATGGCGATCTCATTGGATCTCACAAGCCAAGTAATGACCTAGGGTAGGACAGCTCTAGAGAAAACCCAGCTGTAATGATGCGCTTCCTTCTTAGGAATAAAACAAAGAAAAAGCTGGGGGAAAACAACATTAAAGGAACTAAATAACAGCCAGTCTGAGGCAAGGGAGGTGCAGCCCACAACAGTCAGAAGCAAAATAACCACCTTAACGTTGCAGCTGTTTCTTTCCTCTAATTTGTATTTAAAAGATCAGCAAGGCAAGCGGGCTGGGAATGGCTGGCTAAGCATGCAGGGAAGGAGGCGGGGGTTGAATTCACAAGCCTCTGAATGAAAGACATGCTCAGCAGATGCCTTGTTTCAAAGATAGCTATGGTCTTGTTTGTTCTGTTAGGATAAGCATGATAGTGTAACAGACTAAGTCATTTTGGGGTACCATTTGCTTCACATACTTAGAGTTCACAAGCATGCTATCACACTCAGGGACTGCATATTGTCACACCATTGGACACACACCCAAGAAGTGGTGTTGGCGGCTCAGGGTATACCTTCACTGCCAAATCATAACCTGAGTATTGCCCCAGCTCAAAAATCATTCATATATCAAACCCCTTAACTTGAGGGCAAGGTACTCTCAACTCAAATTGGATGGCCTGGCAGAAGGTATAAGCTGGTGTTTAAGCTAGTACAATTCATCAGTTGCTATGAAGGCCTCTCAGTCTTGTGGGCTCAGGCTAGCTCCAGTAGTGTCTTCCAGGCCCTTCCCACAATGCTGTGTGTGCGCCCGGAAAGGAGGAAGTTCCCCCACAATTCACAGAGAAAGAATTCACAGTTTGCTGCAGCACAAAGAACCAGGGATTATTTCCCCAACTTGTAAGTGGGCATGTGAACGAGTGTAATGCCCTGGCGGACACAGCAGCTTTGATGTTTTCTTACAGTGTGGCCACTCTCACTTGAGCTAGGCTAACCTGAGAGGAGTAGAGAGGTAGTTAGCTATGGTAGTCTGAAGTTAGGCAGACAGCAATGCAGAATGGCACCTTATAGACCAGTGGTCACCAACCAGTATATTTCGATCCACCAGTAGATCTCGGAGCCTCTTGGAGTCAATCCGAGGCTGGGGTGGGGAGCTGAGTGCCACCGTGCATGTACATGCGTGCCCCAGCCCAGCCGGTCAGTCTGTGGGGTGGGGGCTAGATCAAGGCCCCTGAGGTGCGGGACCACTGTCCTGCAGAGGCAGGAGCAGGGGTAAATTGAGTGGGGCCCTGGCCGGGTGAGACTTACCTGCTGGGGAGGTATGCCCCCAAATAATTTTTTCTCTCTCTGCCTCAATCTGCCCCTCGCCCTCCCTCCCCAAAGACTTACCTGCTGGGTGGAGGGGAGGGGTGGCAGCAGTGCACAGTAGATCTTGGGTTATTTTTAAATGCCAAAGGTCACCTCCTCCTTAAAAAGGTTGGAGACCTTTATAGATTAATCCTGTGTACGCCAAGATTAACACATTCAGAAGCATGAGCTTTCTTAGGCTACAACCTACTTCATTAGATAGTATGAGTAGTAAAAGTTAATTTTGCTGTGAAGACATTCCCAGTAGGTGGCACTCTTTCTTCTACGTACAATGTGGAACAGTGGCCCTCACAACATTAGCCCCTTGCTTCTTGAGGTGTGGTCTTTTGCAAGAGAGAAAACAAGCTGCCAACTGTTTGAAATTCAAAAGTCCTTTCCGAAACCAGGGGAGCTTCAGTGGTAGGGTCCTGAGTATATTCCAATTCTGCAAGGATTGGTAGAGAGGCAGCATGCTCCAGGGGACAGGGCATGTGATTATGGTGCTATAGACCCAATACCTATGTCTGGCTCTGCCAATGAGCTACTGTACTGTGGGACCTTGGGCAAGTGTCTTCACCCTATGTGTGTTTTGTTCAGTTACGCTCTGAGCTCTCTGGCATAGGGGCTGTCTCTTGTACATACAGCTGGGGCCTCTAAGTGCTACTGCACCACTGCTACTACTGGTGGTTACATTAGTTTCCTAAATTTCTTCCACCATTTTCTTTAGGGATCAATCCTCCCTCACTTCTATTAAACAGTGGCCCTATTCCAACCATGAGGCAGTTGCCTTTCCAATAGTACATTATTTCTGGGTATGTGTGTGAATGTGCTTTGGGATCAATAAGGATCTTGTGTGGATGATGCTCCTAACACTGTTCTGAAGTAACATGGGCTTATGAGCATGAGTTTCACAAAGAATCATCCTTAGCCATACTGACAGCTGCGTGAACACAGGCCTTCCACAGGGTGTTGCACCAGGATGCTACAGTGATTGGTATTTGTTACAAGAATGTAAATTAGGTAAACTTTGAGTGGAGGCAGGACCTATGCTTTTCTCTACACTAATTTACACTGAACATTGAAAATCCAGATGTGGAGGGAAGCACGTGGCCCTGACTTCCTGCTCTTTCACTCTTGCCTCCATGTGGTCTCATTCTGAGGCCCTAGATTAAGGACAATCTGGTAACTAAGAAATCTCTTCTTATTGCCTTTCCCCATCTGTACTCTGCTGCTCCTGCCAGAGGTTTTATTGGACAAAAAATCCTGGAAATAAAAACCCACACACTATTCCCTCTGCAAAAGTCTCCCCACCCCCAGCACAACAGTATGCTGCTTTCAGCTCTTCTAATTAGCTAAGCAAGCAGTGCTCATTAGCCCCACCTGAGTCACTCAACTACTGAGAAGGAAGAGTATTAACCCCCAAGTGGCCATGTAGCTCCATAAAAAATAGGTGAATAAAAGAACTCCCCTTAGCTGCCTGTACTGTCAGTACACAGTACCAAATAATAACAACCCTACTCAAAGAGGGTTTTATTCCCCTTGCAGTCTGGGGTCAGGTCTGCATTACACATTTCTATCACCCCAGCTGTGTTGATCAGGGGTATGGCGGGGTGTGATCCCTGACCAACACAGCTGGTGGCAAAGGCCCTTATGGAGAGGCGGTGGCACCAAAAAAATGAGTTCTTTGTTTGTGTAGTTTGTTTTACTCCTGGGCAGGAGAATTTTACTCCATGGGTGTAAGTTGTAGGTCTTCTGGCATAGCTGTGTCCACACTAGGAGTGCTTTGCTGGTATAATAGGTTGGTATTGCTCACTGGTCAAGTGCTTCTACTATAAATATAGGCTCAGACATCTACACAATACAGATCACCAGTTCTCTGAGGTTCCCTACTATTCCCCCTACTTCCTTAACATTTTTCTAACTTGTGTACCCTTGCACTAGGATGCAACCCTGACACAGAGTAGTAGGAAGAGGTTGGAGCACACAGGATGAATGGGCATCAAACCTACTCTTTGCACTATCACAGGTGGCATGGTGGACATAGCCCTTCTGGACTTTAGGAAGGCCTTCGACACTGTCTTTCACCCCAT